CTCTCTCTCTCGCTCCTCGCCCTTTCTTGCTCTCTCTCTCGCTCTCCGCCCTTTCTCGCGCTCGCTCCTTGGTCCTTCTTGCTCTCTTTCTCTCTCCCCTCCTCTCTTTCTTTTCCTCTCTACCTCGCTCCCTCGCCCGCAGCGCGTTCGGGAGTATTGCCCGGTGTAGAGGCTGCGCCGGGCTGCGCGCCGCTTAGTGTGTCTGTTTGTGTTTGGCCCGCCCCGCCGCGCCGCGCCACGCCACGCGCCGCACCCGCAGTGATGACGGGGCTATCTTTAGCGTGGCGCGCTATCTTGCGCTGCACTGGGCACCTGGCCAATAAGCAAACCACTCGTATGTGCGAGGCGTGCGCGCGGGGCGGGGCGGGGCGGGACGGGGCGGGGCGGTCGAGGCGTTGGCGGAAGGTGCGCGCGAGCAGATGGGGCGGCCACACCACCTGGCGCACGCTTGCGGTCTTGCAGTGCACGCCACAACACCTTCTCTTTGTTTTGTTTTTTTTTTATCATGGAATATATACGTTAATAGTGTTGCCCAATAAACGCGACGCTCGCGTGTAGCACGCACGACGACGCACGCTCAGCATTGCGCGCGCGTGCGACAGTGCGGCGGGTACAGCTTGCGTTACATGGGAGAGCGAGTCGTTGTGTAAGGCGGGGGCAGCAGGCCGGGGGCAGCAGGCCGGGGGCAGCAGGCCGGGGGCAGCAGGCCGGGGGCAGCAGGCTGCGGGGGCACGCCGCACCACTCTGTTGCCTAAATGCTGCGGCTGCTGCTGCTGCTTGCCTTTGATGTGCGAATGCCCAGAGCATTGGCACACCTGCTCTCGCGTCGAGGCACTCCCACCACCTGAGCGCCTCACTGCCGGCCCGCCTATACCCATACCCGCCTCCTGCCCGCCCGCCTTGCATGCCTTGCTTTCGAAGGAAATAACTAATTATTGACGTGTCTTTGTGTGGTGTGGAATCAAAACCAGGAAGTAATCGGTATACTGGTGGACGCGTTTGTCAGCAGAGTAAGAGACCCTCCCTTGTCATGTGCCACCAGACCCCCTTCCCTTTTTTCCCGCCCAGCTAAGAAGCTGGACAGGGATATTTGTTCCCCTTTCTTCAAAACACGTTGCCGCGCATATTCCTTCTCTGACGTTCTTTTTTCCTCCCTGTTGCCTGGCGTGCGCATGGCTGCAATAAGGGCCGTCCTTTTGCTCGTTTGTGTGTGTGTGGGGGGGGGGGGATGTCTTGTGTGTGCCGTGTGCGCGTATGTTGTGTGCTACCGCGTGTCAAGTCAAGTCCAATACACACCAGCGTTTGCGCGGGTTTGCCTACTCGCCCCGGTGCCGCAAGGCACCCACCACGCGTCGGTCCCTAGAGTAGGCAAATCCGACACTGCTGTGTATTGGACCCGACATCAGACGGTGTGTGTGTGCGCGCGCGCGGACTTCTCCCTTTGGCGCCCGCTCCCTCCTCCTCCGCGTTTGCGTTTGTTAGGATAGGGAATGGCGGGTAATAATGTTATTCCCCGCACCGCTGGTTATTTTTCGAGGCCGCGTAATAATGTGATAACAAACACGAAATGTATAACGTCTCGTGCTTTATTGCAGATAGCAAATAATAGAGCTCTCTTTCGCTCTGCGGCCAGCGCCGACGACTAACAGGTGCGCTACCTCCCCGACAGCCTCTCTCTATCTATCTTTCTCTGTCTCTCTCCTCGCCGCAAGGGTATTTGTCGCGCGTGGGTGCGTGCGTCGGGGGAATATTGCTTTATACAAGATTGAAAAAGTAAAGTGGATTTGGTGGTGCTGCTGCTGCTCGGGAAAGAAATTAGACGTAAAAAAAAAGCAGAGGCAAGAGCCAAAAAATAAATAAATTAAAAAACAACACCTGAAATGGCGCTGCTGCTATGCTGCTGCTGACCTTCTGCTGGCGACGCGCAGCAGGTTGATCTCGTTTAAGCTCTTTCTCCCGGCCGTCGACGACACCCAGGGATCCTCGAGGGGGGGATGGAGTGCCGCGGCGGTATCGAGGGTGGGCCAAGGCCGGGCGGGGCGGGGCCGGGCGGCGAGTCAACCCAATAACAGCCAGCCAGCCAGCGGCGGGCCTTGGGCCCAAATCTGCTTTGCGCTCCGGGTGGCTGACGTTTCTCGGCGGGCGGGGCGGGTCAGGGGCCGTGGCGATGTGCACTGGGGCCGCGGCGCCTCGCGCGCTCGTCTGTTTGTGTGGCCGGGGCCGGGCGGCGGGCCGGGGCGCTCGCACGCACCGCTGCCGTTGCTGTAGGTCGGGGCGCGCACTATACTTAGCGTGGTGATGTGAGGCTGTTCTGCCCAGGACTCAAGCCATATGGAACTATCTCCGAGAGATAGGAAAACAATTCATCGTCTAATCCACACTCTTTTGTTATTATTAATTTGTTGGAAACCAGTTTCTGATATTGGTCGGTGTTTTGTTTTGATAATCTGGCCTATTTTTTTCGATATTGTTAGGCCAAGATTTTATGCTTGTAAATTCGGGGTATCGCTACTGCCGCTCGACCGGCTCTGGCTTTTCTTGCTTTTCTTGTCTTTTTTCCACTGGCGACGCGGCCGGCGGCCGGTCGGCCGTCAAGTTTAATCATCATTTGAGGCGCTCGTCGACCTCTGAGGTGACGGCCGCTGCGGCAGACGCGACCACACAGCGCCGGACCGCTCCGCCCCGCCTTGACCCGCGCCCAACCGGCCCGCCGCCGGCCACCTAGCGGTTTGGGAAGCTGGCCGCGCAGCTTGCCGCAGCTGCAGGTGGTCCAGCTGGGGGGCATACGCGCCGCCGCGGGCGCGGGGGGACCAGCCGACCTCTATCGCGCTCTTTCGGACAGCCAGCGGGCCCGGCCCAGACAGGGTCGCTCGCCGCGTAGCCCCGTTCCCACAAAACTCACACGCGCGCTCAGTCGCATTTGCATTATTACTGGCTCTCATCGTTGTCGGCGGCAACAGCTTTGCAATCTCTCACAACAATATACAACCTGCGCGCGGAACGGACGGCTGTTGGGGTTTTCCTCCGCTATGCCTTCTTGTTGTGTCGCGTCGCCGTTTATAGCCGATTGGTGATTAACTTTGGACCGGCGTAGCGACGACGGCATCGGCATCTGCGCTGCGCTTTCCAATTGCCGACGACAGTATAGTGGCGGCCTCGGCACGGGGTCGCGGGCATGGTGCGAGGACCCGAGGCGGCCTCAAGTGTGCTACCGCATAGTAGCCCCAGGAAGTTTTTTCAGAAAAAACAAAACAGGAAAGAAACAAATCAACACATTTTTTGTGCGCTAAAGGTAGCATTTGCTTTCGGAATTTTGCCTTTTGTAGAGGCACCAAACTATGATACTAGGTCATTTAAAAGGTGTTGCCTGTTCAGCAGTGGAGTCGTTCATCGCAGGCAGTTCGGCTCGGCACCTTTCCACCTGACTGAGGCGCGTCCGCCTGCGCCGCTGCCTGCTGCCTGCGCCGCCTGCCCATGTATTATTCAGCGCGCCCTCGCAACAAGTGGATTGGTATTGGAGCAGGCGGGCCGGGCCGGGCCGGGGGTGCGAATGCATGTCGGGGTACGATGTAGCGTGGCTTACGTCCGGCTCGGGGGTTCTACGGATATACAAAGAGCGAGGGGGCAATAACTCCGGGAATCATGTGTACACCTGTCTGGGAATCATCAGGATAAAAATTGATCTAAATCAATAGAAATCGCTTAGAATAAGCGGGAAACTAGAGAAATAAGTACAAATCAGTCGCAATAAGCGTTTTATTCCACTAAAACCCCCCGAAAAACCAATGTAATAATTATAAGCGGACGGGGAATCACCGGGAATCAAGAATTTCGGGAATCATGTGTACACTTCAAAAGGGAGTTATTGCCCCCTCGACAAAGAGAGTAAATAGAACCATAAGATTGTGTGTAACGACCGAGGTAATGACTGACACCTGGTGGATAACGAAAGTTGTTTGTTTGGATGATTGTATGAGAGTTTTGCTTTTCCAGAGAACATTTTGTTTTGTCTCGGGTAGTCGGGTATAGTGTCTCGAAAAATGATTCATATCTTCTGACGAGTTCTTTTTCTTTTGTGCTGTCCAGTGTCTAGTCAACAAAAATGTTTCTTGTTGTAATCGATTATCTCTTTTTTTGCGCGCGCGCGATGGATTACGTTTTGTTACAGACATTATTATAAAATTACTTTGTTTTTGTTGGGGTGAAGTACGTACGAAAAGTATGCGACGTGCGAGACGAAACCAAATAATGCCCCACTGCTTCACTCTTGCGGTTCAGATTGAGTTTTTTGTGCTTAAAAAAAAGACATTAAAGATTAAAGCTGCAGACGTCAAGTTGGTCCTTTGGCTGGTGTATTTGTTCAGGCTGCCTGGACGTTTGAAGCCGCAAGGTGGGCTGGCGGCCGACCCCAAGGTCAGCGCCGTCGTGCTTGTTTGGAGCGGGCCTGACCTAGGTCAGTGAGACGGGCGGGGATAGGATATATGCTGCTGCTATTGCTACGTCTTCGCGCAAAAGCTCACGCCCGGCATTAGGGCGCAAGAGTCAGAAAGGGTGGACCGAGAAAGATTTGGAGTTTCCCGCAGAGGCCTCCTGGCAAGATGATAATCGCTCGATGCCACTGCTGCTTCGGTCGTGGTTTTTTTTTCTTTGACTTTTTTTTTTTTTTGGACGGGCTGATTAGATAGTCTGGCGCGGCCGCACGGCCCACCCTAAACGTTCTGCTCTTATTCCTGTCCCTATAACGGCCGCGCCGGGTGCGGCGGGCGGAGGCGATCGGACGAGAGAGAACGCCCATCTCGAGACGCGCAGCAGAGCAGATGTCGTTACTTTCCTCTTGGTCGGACTACATAAACGATTTATTTTTACTTTATTATTGCGTGACGCGGATGCCGGTCAAGGCGGCGGCGGCAGCGGCGCGCCGACTGTATTCGTCGTGAATGGGGTGGCTTATCCGTGTCAAGGATCACGGCGGTACGGTGGAGAAGAGGAGGCTCATCGCCTCTCCCTCGGCGACGGCGACGGACAGAGGGCGAACTCAGCTGCCCTGCTTCTCTGCGACGGGGGGCTCGGGGGTCCCCGGGACCGCCACCACCGCGCCACACCGGCAAAGTTGCGGCATGGTGCTTAACAATTAAGGCAAGCCATACTAGAACCCTCCGGGCAGGAGGAGGAAACTCCGTCCAACTGGCGCAGCAGCAGCGGCACAGCTTCGGCAGCCTGCTCCGTTCAAAGCTATGGAACAACCAACAGCAACTTACATGGTGGTGGTGGTG